ATACACTTTCCTTTAGGAAATCAATAGCTCTCTCATCATATCCTAATAGTTAAAAAAGAAATTCCAGAATGTATCTCCACGCCAGAAGGCAGCTTCAATTCCAAATCTCAGATATTCCAAACCTCTTAATATTACGCACAATTGTGAAGCAGCAACTCTAATGAGTGAGCTCAAATATACTCACAGGATACACAACAGACAAAATATCAGCAGCTGGCTCCAAAACCACATCACAGAGGAAGCAGCTAGATCAATGGAAGGAAGACACTGTATGAGAAGGGGAGTGTGTAGTATGTCCAGGAGAGAAAGAGCACAGCAAAAAGGAGACAGGGGAATGAGAAAGAGAGTTTATAAGGATTTTTAAAGATGGTGGTAAAACCCTACCAAAAGCAATAGTCACTGAACACCAAGTCCCTGTGGAGGGCCTCTGGAGGTTCTTTGTGCCACCTACACCAGAATTAATAGATGAGGATAGAACAAAATGTGATCAGGTCAACTCCTGTGTGAGGAGAGTGGCTGGCACTGCTGAGAGCTCCTCAGGGATTGACACAGCTGGGGTGCTTCACATGTCCTTTCTTTTGTTCTCACAGCACTTCAGGATATGGCACTGCATAGGCAGAGAGGATCCTCCTTGCCCACACAGGGCAATAGGTCTGGAACCCAGGGGCAGTCGCCTCCAGAGGCTACCTCTAGGTCTCAGGCTAAGCTGCCTGGTCAAAGCTAGACAAATTCATGGTAGAGCAGACTTACAAATGCTCACATGCGCCATCTCATATTTTAGCAAACTCAACTTAGTCCACAGTGTGTATTTAAACTACTTTCAAGAAGATCCTTTTAATTACAGGTTTAGACTGTATTAAGAATACTCAATTAAAAACAAACCAAACAAACAAACAAAACAACAACAACAAAAAAAAAAGAATACTCCATTCCAGTGAAAGCTGTTGGCTATTGTGACATGAGACCAGAGACTACCAAAGGATAGACTTTCCTGAAATGTGGAGTGGACTCACTTGGGGCTCTGGGAAGTACACCGTGAGTTAGAGAGGACCTCTCAAGCATACAGTTTGCTTTCCAGCACCTCCAGTTACTCACACTATAATAATGATCTGAGGGATCCTGAGCATCAGAGAGAGTAGAAGTGGCTATATGGCCCCAGATGTTGATCATTTAGAAATATTTTATAACCTCAAAGATTGCCTGGATGAACAAATAAGCCAAAATATTCTGTTCCATATGTGCAGAAGCAATTTGATAGCAAAAGAAAAAGAACTAAGGAGAAGACAGAAAAGGTTCTGAGAGAGAGACAGAAACAAAGGTAAACAGAGACAAAACCAGAGGTGGTGGTGGGGAATATATTCACTTCTAATACTTCAGGTCATCTAAAGCACACCAGATTACAGGAAAACAAGGTAATTCCTATCACACTGTGAAGATGAACCTTGTAATGTGCAGTTATTTGGGAGTGTTATGGCAGCAGTTCATGATAACGCTGATGGCAAACATTCACTGAGCCCTCAGTGTGCACCAGGTCTCTACAGGTTGCTTGCTGGGCACTATCTCACTTAATCCTTAAAAGAAACCTATGAGGTAGTACTAGGGTCATCCCATTTTACAGATGGGGTAACAATTGGGGTAGTCAGATAACCTACCCAGGTACTAATACCATCCAATGACAGGACCTGGATCCAGTCTTGGGTATTTAACATTAGAGCCACATTGCCAACCACTAGGATCTGCTAACCAGTTCTGTATTTGTACCAGAGTTTGCTCTCCATGAAAGCTTTTCCCTCAGTTCCTCAACTAAAAATACAGAGCCCCTACAAGTTTGCTCTCATTTCAAACTTATTTAAAAGAAAAACACTCTTCTAAACTGCCTGAGAAACTGTACTTTTCCTCTCTCTTCTCCCACTGTAAACTGATATTTATTTGTGTACGTAGGAAGAACCAACCCAAACCCATTCATTACAAGGGAAGGGAAGCCACATGTACTAACCTTGGCTTTCAGCACATCATTGTATTTTTCCTCTCTGGCTGCAAAAAGTATAATTCTTTCAATAAAAACTTTCTATCTAAAAATAAAATCACAGCAAACTCTGCAATTACACTTCTCTGTTGGAGACATTTGCTTTCCACTCTATTTTCCTGAATGTGGAAAGAGGTCCAATTTTCTGGTCTGCTAATGGGTCACACCAAAGGCCCAAATGTAGCATAATGAACTGGAAAACCAAAGCTATGTAGGTTTGAATCACTGTGTGGTTGTTCCAGGAGTGCTGTGAGTAGCTTTGTGTTAAATCAGCTATATTCTACTTATCTCACCTGTCGTTGGTACAGTGGGGCCCTGATCAAGGTTTGCCAAACTCCAGCCCTAGGACAAGCAGATGCTGCTTAGAGGAGACATTGGTAATATAGTCTCTGGCCAGTTTTCCTCCTCTTGAGCTTACTTCCAAACTTTCCCCTTTCCTTGCCTTTCCTTTTGCTGTTCTGTGTCTCCCAATTATAGGACACCACCCCGCTAATTTGTGGAGTGCTGTATTGCTACCATGACTTGGATTTATCAGAAAAGTTGCAGAAGGGCTCCTAGATACTATAGACTGGCAGCTTGAATTTTCTCAGCTGGTGGTTTCCATGAGATATTGTACTATCTTAAATATGCTCTAGGAGAAGTACACCATTAGCTGGGGTTGATACATAATTTTGGTAAGGGGATTTTACATCTAATTCATCAGAGTTCTTTAAGGGACATGTATGTACACCTACAGGTGTTGGAGGAAATGAATAAGATGGTTACAGGAGCTTTTAGAAAGTGTTTTATAATAATCCAAAGAGAATTTTAAAACGCTATGAGCTGGGGAGGAAGTTTTATCATGATTAGTAGTCTAGACTACAGAAAGGAGTAGAAGGAAAGGAAATAGAAGAAATAGAAATAGAAGGAAAGAAAGGAAATAGAAGATTGAGACCAAATTGATACAAATGAACAAATGAACAGATGTCTAGAAATGGGTAAACACTTTTATAAATAATAAAGAGAAGGAGGTGCCCAGTAAACTCTTTGGGTTGGGGAATACCGACTCCCTACTTATAAATGCCTAGTGGAATAAGTCACTAGATCTCCAGGAGAAGGCATGGAATATAACAGAAGAGCTTTACAAAAGTGTAAGTTACATCAAATAATATCCCATCATATGATACTCCATTATGTAATATCAAAACTATGACTCCAGCAAGGGTCTTGAGAATCTCTACAGGTTATTCCTTAAAGATACTCTGCAATGCTTTGACTTAAAAGTGTCCTCAAGATGTCCTGTGGGGCTGAAGTCATGAGGAAGCCTATCAGAAGTCTAACAAAGGCTGTCATGTGTCCTTGTAGAAACCCTGGTCTGCCCCCATATAGAGGACCAGGTATGGTTTTAGTCATCATACCCACAGAGGGCTATAGTAGATCAAGGAATTATCCAGAGAAAGACAATCAAAAATATAAAGGGAGCAGAAAAAATAACAGAATACCAACAAGAATTACAGATACAATAATAACATTTGCTCTACACCAGGCACTATTCCAAGTGCTTTCCTTGTGTTGATCCATATAATCCATCAACCATCCCATGAAGTAGCTACTGTTATCAAGGCCATTGTACGGATGAGAAAACTGAGGCATAGAGAGTTTAAGTAGGTTGTCTGAGTCATGAAGCTAGTTTGCACCCAGGCCATCTGGTGCCAGATTCCTGGCTCTTGACTCAGACTACTTGCAAAATGGGAGAAGATCGAACAAAATTCCATGCTGTTCTGCTTGGGGGCCAAGGCTAAAAGTAATTTATCTAACTTAAAAAAACCAAGACAAAGCCTTGATGGGGGGAAACCATGGACTTTATACCAAATTATAGATCTTTAAAGTTAGGATGAAGTAAATTTCAGACAAATAAAAAGAAAACATTTTTGTACAGTGGAAGTATATTATAACATTTTATTTTCTTTAAGAATGGAGACTATGAATTCTAATAGATTCAGAAAGAGTATTGGCCATGAATGATGATGTGTTACTGAGGGAAATAAGGTTGGTTCTGAGCTAACAGGATTCCTGGAATTATCCTTGGTCATTTCTATTAGAGGCAGGTCACAGGACTGGAGAAATGTGGGTCTTTCCGGGTGGGCAGAGCCTTTGTGTAAATCACCCTTCCTGTGACTTGAGTCACCTGGTTGCCAACTTCTCTAAGAAGCTTCACACCAAGGAAGGAGATGGTCTGTGGGTGTGGCTAGCAGCTCTCCATTTGAAGTGACAGGAGGTGCTTGCCAAATAATTCCAAGGGGCTGAGAGCCACGTCACTTGTCAAAATCCTGTGCTGGGCCAACGGTGGCCTAACAGTAGAGCCACATCTTGCAACTGAGGAGCCTGTGCTATACCCATTCCCTCAGTCTGTTTCTCTAGTCTGTCCCTGAGCAAGCAAGTGGACAGGGAGGGAAGATTGTGGTGGTCCCTGGGAAGAGCCACCATCCTGGCCTCTGCCTCTCTTCCTCTCCTTGGGCTTCAAGTGCCTCCAGCTCCCCCACTAAGTACCTCTGTGAGGAGTTGTGAGAACTGCACAAAGCTCATCCGGCAACATGTGGAGACAGCCTTCTGGGTGATGGAGGGACCTAGGGGTAAAGTGGTTTTATTCCTAATGCCCGCTGATCCGGCCACTCCAGGGCAGGAACCTCCACTCTGTTGTGTACCCTGCAGGAGCAGAGGACCTAGGGCGCCGGACTGGTAGTGGGGGTGCGGGTGGAAGACATAAAAAGGAAAAAGAGATTTGGTACCACTGGGCTTGGTGAATGGGATCCGTGGCAGGAGGCACTTGAAATATTAACTATTACTGAGTTGTTCGGTTATGGGGATTATAGAGACACACATGCTGACTCTCCTTAGCGCAATCTCCTCCAAGGCAATCAGCCACCCCATCCGCTGCAGACATTTCACCCCCGGCATGAGAGGCGGAACAGAGGCGATTTCTGCTGCTACTCACCTACGCAGTTATCGCAAAGGCTACAATGAGAGGCACGAGGGGGCCGGAAAATCTTGCAGGTGAAACAATATTTAAGTTTCACAGTCTGGCCATTGATGATGACTTCTTTGGTTCTGGGAGGTGGGCGGTACCCCCCTGAACTGGTGCCGTTTGCGATATCTGTGGAGAAAAGAAGAGAAAGCATACGCCCTTAACACAATCACTTGTCCTCTGTGGCCTCATACACCTAGGAGGGAGGCCTGGAGTCTGCACTTCTAAGGGCAGTGGTCGCACCTGGCATTGGGACACCTATGCCTTCCTGGGAGGCACCTGACACACAAATGCTCCCTGCTGTCAGAGGGCCTGCATGCAGCCCCATAGCATTCCTGCTCCTTGCCAGACTAGTTACACAGGTGGGAGCCACCAGGTGACTGAGTTCTGGCCAATGGGGTTCAAGCTCAGCCACTGGGTACCAACCCGTGGAGTCCTGCCCGCTCTGTCCCCTCCAGGCAAACGCACCTTGGAACCTCAAAGCGGGGATCCTGATGTCTGTGCTGAATAGAGCTGCCTTTCTGACCTCTTTATCCTCCATACTGTCATAGGACACCAAATTCCCACAGTGTTAAATTGCTGAAGGTCTGGATTTTATTTGTTACAGCAGCTAGTGTTGCCCTAATATAGTGGGTGATACTGACATCAAGATCTTTCTCCGATGGTGCATTCCAAATCCAGCTTAAGAATGTCCCATCTTGAAATGAACAAGGGGATAGTGGAAGGGGAGGTGGGTGGGGAGTTGGGGGACTGGGTGACGGGCACTGAGGGGGGCATTTGACTAGAGGAGTACTGGGTGTTATGCTATATGTTGGCAAATCGAACTCCAATAAAAAATATATACAAAAAAAAAAGAATGTCCCATCTTGCACATTGGCCTCCTCAAAAATACCAGGCATTGGATGGAAGGAATATAAATTTTTTATATATATATATGTCCAAAAATATGTATTTAAAGGTTATATTTACACATAAATATATGTATATTTATGTATACATATATTTATGTATACATAAATATGTATTTAAAGGTCTATTTAATATACATATGTAAATACATATTTAAAGGTATATTATATATTCAAATATACATACATTTAAATGTATGTTTTAAAATTAATTTCCACGTTTTGTTTATTGTCTGACCAGCATCCTTCATTATATTTTAGAATCAGTTTTTTAAATGTTGAAGAAAACACAAATATGTATATTTTTTAAAGTTTCACTTTATCTTACAGTCTGGTTCGTGTCTCTGTGTTCACATTAGAATCACCTGGGGAGCTTTTAAACTTCCCCTAATGCATGGATCCTGTCCCGGACCCATTAAATCAGAATCGTCCCCAGGATGATTCTAATGTGCTGCAGGGTTGAGAACCCTTGCTCTCCAGGAAAATAAAACATGGAGTTTTATTCTCATCTAGACCCCTCCCAGCCCTGTGAGGCCTGCCAGAAAGAATTTGGGGCAGCTAGCTGTGCAGCCAAGAGCAGGAGGCCCCTGGGGGAGCAAGAGCAAGAATATCTAAGGGCTTCAGCAAAGACTCTGTAGGCAATAAACAAGCAAGGCAGACCCTAGGGGCTGGAGGAAATCTTGGGAAACTTCAGGGTGTTCTCGAAACAGAGCCAGTAGCATTAAAAGTGGCTGTTCCTTTTAATTTATACACAAGGAAAGTACACATGATCAGATAGCAGCATCTGCAGCATTTGGTAAATTTGCTAAGTGGTAATAAGCAGTGAGTCCTGTTACCCACTGAGGCCCCCACAAACAGTCTGGGCAGGAGTCATGAGAAGAGCTTCCAAAACTATTAATCTTTCTGTCCTGCCCTTAGAGGGTCTGATTTCATTGGCAGGGTACAGTCTGGCTTCAGGGTGGTAAAAACTCCCCAGGTATCGTGGTATTCGCAGAGCTGCACCCTCTGCCAGCACCCCAGCATGGACGGAATCTACCATTCAACATGTCATGACTTCAGGGGCCCCTCACCTTTCACCCCAATCTTTAAGAGGAGGACCGAGGCCTGGAAATCTGCCCCAGCCTTTTGGCCTAAGTGTTGGTATTTGTGAAAATACCAGTGGCAGGCAAGCAACTTGAGTGGTTACTAGGCATTTTCTACTCATGGAAAACTAAACTTCTCTAAGCAGGTTATGGAAGAAGAAGACAGAGAGTTCAGGAATATCTGAGGGACAGAGGCAGTGCGGAGGACAGGAAAACGGGCAGAGTAAGGGGCAACCCTCTGCTTTACATTTTTGCTGAGGACAATCCTTCAACTTAGAATAATTAAATAGCTGGGGAGCCCAAGGACCCTGGGTGACCTTGCCCAGCAGGATACCTTATCCTGGCATGTGTCCCCACCTGCCTGGCCCCCCGGTGCCTATCTTATCAAACATCTCAGTGGATTCTGAATAAGGAGTAAACAAAGAGATGACATGGCTGTGTACTTCCCTTAGCATCATGGTAAAAATAACTTGCTTTGAATACATCAAAGATAAGGTCAGCTCTCCAGAGGTGCCAATTGGGTGCCACTGAGGCCTAAATTAATTATGACTTGGTGCCTCATTAGCCTTATGTCAGCCATGAAATCCATTGTATCAATTCAGCTCTTGCAAACGTGGGCAGGAAAACTCAAAAGCCAGATAAAGGTTTTAAAATAATAACTCAATCAATAATATTTGTGTTAACTTAATCAGAAAATTTAAAAAGTGAATTGTCAAGGGAAGTGTTTTAAAAAGCCGGGATAATGCACTTATCCACACTGCAACAACTAACAAAGCCTAGCCTGAGTAGCAGTGACTTGGAAAAGTAGTTAGCACTTCTTAAGTGATTGTGTAGTTCCAAACTATATTTTTGAAAGTTTAAAAGTTTGATACAATGTGAACTGAAGGCAAAACTCAACAGACATGACAAATGGAAGCATAAGAATGAAGCTAAACCCAAAAACTCATATCTGCAGAGCTTTTTATGTAAAAGAATTTGAAGAATCAGAAGACCTGGATTCAGGGCCCAGTTGTACCATCATTAAAGTGACTAAAGGTCCATAGAACTAAAAAAAAAAAAGTCAGTTGACATTTAAGACATACAGTTGACCCTTGAACAACGTTGGGGTTGGGGAGCCAATCCCTTGCAGAGTTGAAAATCCAGTTATAACTTTTGACTCCCCCAAAACTTTACTATTAGTAGCCTATTGTTGACCAGAAGCCTTACCAATAACATAAATTAAGATGTATTTTGTATTGCACGCACCATGTACTGTATTCTTACAATTGAGTGAGCTAGAGAAAAGAAAATGTTATTAAGAAAATCATAAATAAAACACATTTGCTGTTACAAATACTGTTCTGTATTTATTGAGAAAACCACATGTATAAGTGGCCCCCATGCAGTTCAAACCCACGTTCGACCTGGTGGTGGTTACAGGTTGGAGGGGAGACCTGGGACCTCACTAGTGCAACAGTACAAGGATCTGCTTTCCTGTCTTTCCCCAGATGCTGCTGGAGGGCAGGGACCACGTTTTACCCACTTTCATGTTCAGTAGGTGTGGAAGGCCAATAGTCTTGGCAGGTGAGGATAAAAGATGCCAGTCAGAGTTTCCTTGCCCTGGGGATGCCTCTCTCAAGATCCTCCTAAGGCTGCTGCTCTTCTTATATGTGTCCCTAGCTGCTGCTGGTCAAGAGACCCATCTCATGCAGCTTGTCTGTGCAACTAGAATGCGCCACATGACATGGGCAGCTGGACACCTCAGGATACCCCAGTGGTGCTGTTTCTTCCACATAATAAATTCAAAGCTTTCAGGCATGCTCATGTCTAGGGTAGACGTGAATAATAGGGCCTTGAAACCCAGGACCTCAAATACCTACCTGAGCACAAAGGAAGTTTCTCCTGAATGTTCAGAGTGATGCCAATGGCTGGTCATAAAATCTGCTCCTTGTTCCTGGAGATGACGACCACCCGTGGCCCATGTCATGGGGCACACAAGGTGGCATTCCTATGCTAATCCTCAATTACTCTGCGTTTTGGGTTTGGGTTTTCTTTGTTGTTGTTGGCAACCATTGTGCCTCTGCCTCTTAGGGCTGCTCTTTGTGGTTTAAGTAGAGCCATTGAAAAAAAGAGTAATTGAAGTCTGCAGTATCTAATGGATAAAGAACACTAGAATTTGGGGGGATAAACCTCTAACAGTACTTCAAGTTTATATGAGTCAGTATTTCTTAAGGACATTTTTATACACAGGCATTTTGAAAGAGAACTTAAAAGCCTGAAATGGCCTTTCTCTTCATAAAGTACCCCTTTCCTTGCAAATTGCCGGTAGCTGTGGGTGTGGAGGCAGAAACAGTGACAGAACCGCCATCTGGCATGAACCTCACAATCAGCAAAGAAAGAGGGGATCTGGGGATCTGGAGAAGGGGTGCTGTGCACGCAGTGTGAGTCCAGAGACACAAAGCTGCCTGTTGACTAAGTTTTTCACTCTGAGAGGAGTCCTAGGCTTAATCAGAGGTCCTAAGTAAGCTGTTTGTTAATACATGCCTACTCTGAATAAGTCACTCTGAATAAGTCTTGTTCTTTTAAGGACACTCGTATCCTGAGAGACCCACTTGTCTACCATCTTATTTTCTGCTCCAAATTCAGGGAGAAAATGGTTGAACTTTTAAAACTATTGAACTTCACCATATAAAGTAACTGAACTCTGCTTTTTTTTTTTTTTAAATGCAGAGGGAATGGGGCACCTTGGTGCCTCAGTCAGTTGAGCATCTGACTCTTGATTTCTGCTCAGGTCATGACCTCAGGGTCATGAGTTCAAGCCCTGCATGGGGCTCTGCTTGAGATTCTCTCCTTCTCTTTGTGCCCTTCCCCCTGTTTGTGTTCTCTCTCTCTCTTTCTTTCTCTCTCTTTCAAATAAATAAATCTTAAAAAAATAAAATGCAAAGGGAAAAACCCAAATATACAAAAGATGTACATTTCTTTTCCTTTACCAAAAGGATTTGGAACAGTGGGATTCCCCGATGCATTGGAGTTTTATAGATGATTCACACTGACAATGTTGTCCAGAGAGAGAAGAACCTCCACTAATAAGTGTTTAACTGGAATGAAGGTAAAGCTTCTCTGCATGAGGATACAAGTCACAGGGGAAGTGCGATTTGCT